GAAGACAGATGTGTCAAATTCGGAGGCAATTTTATGGCATGGTAAAGGTTGTGGAACCGAAAATTGTTCCCGTTGTGCTGTTAGGGAGAGGACCAACCATGTTCGAACGAGTGCGGCGCTTTATGTTAGTGAATGGAAGTCGATGGCCTTGAGTTGGTGATAGTGGACTAACCTGATCGACGCTTGCTATTAGTCCTGGCATGTGGAGTCCCGTAGGTTGCGCTTAGCATTTAGTACGATAACTCCAGCAATTTCATTCCTAATCCTGTTTTCTCATACTGTCCTGCAGCAGAATTTAAGTCTAGGTCACAACCTAAACTACTTAAATATCTAACAAACCCTACTTTTAGATTCGTTTGATGCTAGTGGCACAACCGTTTTTTATGTTTAAGAAGCGAAGGAAAAATTCAGCTCTGGGAACCGCTTTCACATAACTCTAATATACCAATTTCATCATGCAGGTCATGAGGATGTCGTCAATTTATGCAAGGCACCTAATCGAGAACTTTTTAGTGAGTGCGTGAGATATTTCAGGTTGATGAGCGACATTTACAAATCTAAGCTGCCCTACTCATATTGCAGCTGCTGTTTAAGTATGTGTTCGCAATCGCAGGGATTTGGTATCATGCCATTTGGAAGCCTTTTGTAGTAAACACGCAGCGACCGTGCAGCAAAGACACAGACCATTGGATTTATTTGCAAGCGTGATCAGGTTGTGCTTTTAGTAATCATCTAGGCTTGTTTCGTGATTTTGTGTGACTTGGATGGATTCCAATAAGCTGTGGAATAAGTCCGAAACACTTTTGTTTGCGCCTACCTTCCATCAACTGTCCGACTGGAATGAAGGTAGGGAAATGAAAATTTCATTTCACTCCAGCATCAACGCAACCATGTTCAAATCAGTCTGCTGTTTAGTCGTTCAAGCAAAATTTAAGATGTTAGTGGAAAGTGGTGTGATGAACATCCACAGCAACGAAGCTGCACAGAATCGGGCCACTCAGAGCCGAGCTTTCGTGTGGAATCACAAATTTGGTGTCCTGGTAAGTGGATGGTCAATAGCGTTGGTGGTCTGCTGGGGCGCCAGCGTAAATGCCCATGTCGGCGTCGGCACCGATCATAAGGTGTTGCTTGCTGTGCCATCGCGGATGCACAGAAGACGACTGAAGCAGGTCCGCAACAGGGAGCCATGGTTTCCGGTTTCTCGCTTTGCCCTTTTGAACAGCACCACCTAGCAACAAACGATGCCAAGGTACATCAACCAAACACTGTGGGAATGTCCCTACGCATAGCTGTTGCTGCATGCAGCGTTGTCCTGTTGGATAATTTAGTACCCCAATTGAACCGTAGCAATTTTGGTCCAAATCAATCCTTTTGCGGGGTATGCTTGGTAGTAGCCAAAACGCACACTCACGCTTTCGATACCGCTGCACCGACGGAAGTTCTTTTTGTCTGGCAATACCAATTAAAGACTAGCAGGTATTTACAGTTATATGAGATGATATAGCGATCTGCCGGCCATAGTATTCGTTTTGGCAGGCTGTTTGAGCATCACGGTGATAGATTTACTGCTTCCTAAGGCCAGGTTTTTACCTAGGCAGTTTTATTGTGAACCACTTACATAAGCGGAACTAAGTGAGGTTGGCACGAACTATAAAGGGTGACACTTGTCCTAAATATCCCATCATCTAGATCAGATGGGCCTTGGAGCATTCTGCATAGCTTGTGCGTAGAAGAAGTAATTAGAGGCGCCTCTGAAGAGGCTGAAGGTACCTTGGTGTGGCACCGTTATAAAAAGCTACGTGTCCTTCCGAGTTTCACGCTCATCAATAAGCAAACTGCTGCTAGATCTAAGGAATTGTGGAGTGGAATTAAAGTGGGTGCTAATACCACACACTCGGCGTTGACCCAGCTATGCAAAAGCCATCAGCCCACTGTCAAGCTAAAAATCATAGAATCTGTAGTTCCACTGAACGAAGGTAGCGGACATTTTTGGGAAATAAATTTACTACCGAAGAAATTCAATCACCTAGTTTCGTGTAAGCTCACCTTCCTTCCCCCTTGACTCCCTCTTAAATGAGTTTCCCAGCAAATTATCACGATTCCGCAAAAATTAGCCCACCACCGGAACATACAAGCTCTGCCGAGCTTCGTCCTCTGTCGCGCATTGTCACGTGACGAAAAAGTTGGTTTCCATGTGCTTATTTGAGTTCTTTAAACAAAGTTGGTTTGTATATGCCTTAAACAGAAATATATTTTAAAAATTTCATCATTGGACTAATCGGTGAGGATTGGAGTAGCACCCTTAGTTCTTTTTGTGAGATAAATAGGTTGTAAGGCAACGTGGGCAATCAAATTGGGAGGCTTTGTAGACAAGTTAGTGAAATGATAACATACAATTATCAAAATTTTTTTTTGAAGAATATTTTTGTTTGGTGAATAGGTCAGATGAATTTCTATAATAAAGTAACATTTCTCTTTTGGAATAATTTCTAAGATTTCTCTGGCCGATCAACCTCATCAGTCCGTCTGCGCGGTAAGCAACGTCGAACGTACCAATCGGAGAGTCGATCAAGCAGGGCTTATTTGAAGCCCATTCCACGACAGTCGGTGGTGCATCTGGCCCAAGCCTCTGTGCCGCGGCGCCGAGCCGAATCAGTTGCTATGGGAGTGTTGGCTCAAAGTCATTTGAGTGCCCTTGGTTCTCAACTTTTTACCTCCGCGGCAGGCGGTATTGAAAATATTGGAGGCAGAGGCATGGTCTCGACGCTAGAACTTGCCGAGGGGGCTCCAGTTATCGTGGAACTACCCCATGAGAGCATAACCGTGGAAGACTATGCCAGACCACTGTACAGGAAGGACATTTTCTTCCCGTAAGTTACTGTTGCACCTGTTCATCAAAGGAAATTTTAGGGATTTGCAATATTTGGGCGGTAGAAGCAGGAACCTATCATCGGATCTTGTTTTTTCTTTATATTTTGACCTAACTGGTCCCTCACGCAGTAGAAAGCTTTGTTAATTATGTCAATAGCCGTAGAATACGACGCCTATCAAACTAAGTTTTGAAGTTGAAGAAATGGCTTCTACGCTTAAATTCTGCGCTTAATTCAGACAAGGAGTTTAGCATCAGAGCCATTCAAAAACGCCACTCATTTGGTTGCCAGAGAAGTCGTGCTGAATTATTTCGGATGATCTCGTTGCAGAGAATGTAGCTGTTACCCCAGGTTTAGCGTTAGGCACAAAATTTTCTAATGTGGACCAGTGCTTTTTGAAACCTACACTGACAGTAGGTATATTTATTAAAATCAGGGGGAGCGTAAAACGCCAAATTGATGCGTCTGCAGCTTCCATCGCCACAGCAGCCGCCAATGTCCTCGACCCCTCTAACGAACAAGTAGGCAACAGCCAGGCCTCCATGGCAATACAAGACGAGCTCCGTCGTCGGAAAGTCTGTGTGTCTGGTACTTCCCAGTTTGGCAGTAGCATTCTCTTTGGAGATAACGTTCCCCTGCCACCCATTAATGAGTCGTCTGTGCCTGAAGAAGGCGTTCCTGGAGACGCGAATTGGACTGGCTCCTGCCTCATGTCTCTCACCAAAATCCCCCTTCCTGACGTCTTCGAAAATAAGGAGGCCACTTCAGGCACGGACAGTGAGGCCTATCTGTGGGATCGTCTCAGAGCAGAAACCGGACTCAATTTGTCAGATACACCGGCGGACGGAATTTACCGGGTTCCGCGATCCCATTCACTGTGTGGCTGGTGGCTCTGTTGGAAGACACAGCGGACCCACAGTCTGGATCGCGGTGACATGGATTCGGTAGAGCGCTTGAAGCGGGCCCTCATGGAGGACGGTGATCGAGCAGCTGACAAAAAGTTCTCACGGCGTGCGCATCTGGTGCTCAGGAGGAAGTGCGATTTCTTGCCCAAGTCCATGTGCGATGTGCTCGTGACGATGATGAATTTGTCTCTTCTCAAATCAAAAAGCTTTTTGCTTTTCTGTCTTGCGAGTCTGATTGCAATGACGGGTATGTGTTGGAGTGGAGTGTCGCCTTATTGTCTTGCAAACTCATTTGACGCAGTTTTTTTTGTGACCAGGTGCTTACGTTCCCTTATTCTTTGTGTGCGATCTCGCGGATTCATTCAACATTCCAAAAAGCCAATCGGCCTATTTACTGACCGTCTATGGTACGTTATTATGTCACAACAGGCTTCGTGGTTGCCTGTCCTTATCTATCGAGTTATTTGCATTATCCTAAGGCGCATTTCTTTGAATTGAATTACTGACATTAAGTAACGAGACAGGCGGACCTCATTGCCGACTCTTCTGGTTGCATTGAGTCATATGACCAGCCACTGCGTAACGCTGTTTTGAGTAGTCACGATCAAATAGACTAACCATGAATTCCTCACACGTTGGTGTTCCCCGATGCGGAACGTTGCCAAAGTAGGCAAAGTTAGTGCGTTTCGAAGCAAATGGCCTGTAAAATAAGGTCACCACTAATTACGAACGTGCCGAGGCCTTCAATGTGTTTTCAACGAAATCCAATAGCACAGAATCGTCACCCTGC